CAGCGGGGTACATCCTCATTTTCCAAACTCACACAATATTCAAAATACCTACAAATAGTCCCCACCCCCCCAGCTGAAACCAGCTGTTAAGGTGACACTGTCACAATGTCAGATTGAAATATCATCTAGAAGGTGCTCTTTAAAACAATGACGACGGTTGTTATTATCATGTCACTTATTCTAGTTTTCAGACAGCTCAGAAATTCAGCCCCGTTGGCGACTGTATTTATGCCGACTATTCCAGTGCACTTGCTCGCTCACGCATGAACACAGAGGTGTGCATCGGGGCCGAGCGGTGATGACCGCAGTCAGATAAGGAGGTGAGAAATGACGGAGGATTTTCTTATCACAACCCACGCTGGGATTTACGCGAAACTGCTTCATCGGAAGCCACACTCCGATCTCCCCACAGGTGAAGGTGCTACTGTATGTGGGCTCTGATGATAACGCCTGTCTGAAATCTCTCCAGGGGGACGAAGCTGTGCCCTTTTTTCCTGCGCTCAGGCGCTGGAAGCCGTAGAAATGAGCCTGCAGCAGGTGTGCAAGCTCAACGCAGCGCTCCAGGCACAGGAAATCACAGAGGACTCTGAAGAGTCAAAGTCAGGCTGCATGCAAGTGGCCACCCACGGCGAACGCTGACGGGACCGCGGTTTGCTCAGAGTCTGCAAACGCCTGAACCCCTCCACATCCCTCAGGCAGCCTGCTGGGGGCTGGGGCTTCCTGTCCCTCCCTAGAAACGCACAGAGACCAGGAAACAGCAACACCTCTCAGAGGGAAGAATTCAAGAGCTGTCAAAGCGTCACCTGACCACAAGCGGCTCTGACCTTCATTACGAAAGATCATGTTCTCACGCAGTGAAACGGAGGTGCAGACAATAAATATAACCAAAGCAAATGAAACCATCGCTGACTGCACAACATCACCCAAGGGCTAGCAACCAGCTCGTTACTTCTTAATCTGCAAATATGCAATTAAAAATAGCGGCATCTTTTCACCCTGTCTAAACATAGGAGGGTCTGGTTAAGACACAAAAAAAGGTGTCAGATCTGTGGTCAAACGGGGACAGATTCTAACTCCAGTGTGACGTTTTATATGCAAGGGAAGCTGCTGTGTGGCCTTGCGGCAGCCAGTAAAAAATGTTAATGAAAAGAAAAGGCAGCTGTTATCTGTGAACAGCAGTTCACATCTGGGTGGAGGAGCAGCCATGTTTTTCCCTTGATCACCACGGCGACAACTCGTTCTCCGCATGCTGGCGCCTTCCACGGCGTCATCACAGACGCACGTCTGTGTGAGATATGGGAGTATTACGGGCAACAGTCCTAGACCGTGCCTTCCCGAGTCTTCTGTCCTTCTTCTTTTACACCTGACCACCTCCTGACCGTGCTGCACGACAAACCGATTTGAAGGCCTTGCTCTAAATCGGCGCACATTGCAGGAGTCGGGCGAACACACCTCCAGTCAGGCGCATCAAATCTGCACTTCTCTTCTCCTCTCACTCAGTGAACGAAATGCTCATTACGCAGGACCCCCAAACCAGGCATCACCAGACAAAAGCCCTCACTGTTTTCTTCTTTCAGTACGTACAAATCTGCGTCCTCCGTTCCGAGGGCCTTGTCTTGGCATTTCCTGACAAGGACGGCCACTGGACTTCCTCTGGATGTTTACAAAGGCCCTGTAGTGAACCCGCAGTCCTGCTGTCACATTGCTTCCTCAAGGTCTCGGGGCCGCAGGACTGCTCTGACCACAGTCTGATGCACACAGCTGGGGTTGGAGTTGTCCCCGCACTGATTTTCCATGATGGAGTCTATTTGAAGCTTTAGCTCCATGCTTCCTGAAGCACAAGCTAAAAGAGCAAGAGACCGAAAGAGAACTTTCCAGGAAACTAGATGTTTCCCCATTTGGCAGCACAACCACAGAGCAAGTCCCCTGCGTATATATCTGGGCCGCTGACTAACCTGTGAAGGCGGCTGTGCCACAGCGACAGCAGCCCCATGATTAATAAGATGCAGAGACACGCAGAAACTGCAGTCATTTTCAAAACCTGAAGATTCGTTTTAAACACGCAACTTCTGAAAATGCTGCCACAAGAATTTGGAATTCCCAAAGCCCATGGAGAGCCAGTCCTTGCCAGCTCACGGAAGACACTGCTCTCAACAGATCCCCTGTACTGGCAGGGCACGGGGCTCATCCCTGCCTGGCACCCCGCTGTCCCGCCAGGATCCTGGCCGGCCTCCGTCGCAGGAGTCACGGGGTCCCGGATCGGAGACGGGACAGGGGAACCTGCTATAGCGACCACTCCAAAGAAAGCGAGCGGAAACCGAGAGGAATTTCACGCCCAGGAAAGATTAAAACACCAAACCAAATCACATGACACCCAGCCGAAGCGGAGCTGGAAACCGCCGATACGGATGGAAAGATGGGACTGCTGGCAACAGAAAAAACGACTCGCCGGGGGAGCTGAAGTCTCACTCCGCTCCGAACTTGCGTTCGCAGTGAAGCGCCAGTCTCCGGGCGTCCCTGGCCCCCTGGCCTTCGATATTCGGATGGCTCTGGTTTATCTCTTTCTTTCTCGACCAAAAAAGCGAGGCGAGACTAGCCGCCCGGTCTGGCTCACTTTTAAAAAACGATCAAGTGGGACGTCTCCCGCCGCGCCCTCTCGCACTCTGCGGCAGGCTGGCATAACTCTGAAACCTCACCGCCCAGATGTGCCAAACCTGCCTCACAGGTGCCCATCTGGGTTTAAGCCATCTGCCTGAGCATGTGGCCGGGCCCATAGTACCCTGCAGATCTCCTTAAAGCAAACCTGTGTTCCACTTGTCTATGGTCTCTCCCCTGCTGCCTGCTGTGGGCCTCAGGAACACACGTTTCTAGGTGATGCTGCAGTCAGGGGGGTGGGGGGACACTCGAGGAACCACAGGCACAGTGAAGGCCAGGCCCTGCGGTGTCCCCTCGGGGGGTACAGACAGCTCCGCGCAGACAGCGTGCTGGGGGACACGATCACGCGCCTGGGCCGAGCCACTGTGCTGCTGAACTCCTCGCCTCATCGCCGCTCACCGAGACAGAGACAGGGAAAGGGAACCAAAAGATTCCCCCCAGAGAGCCTAAAGAGAAGTGACCTCAGCCTTTTCTTCCAGAGCCTGTCTTCTCACAAAGATTGTTAAAATACCAAAATCAGGAACGAGGGTGTGTGAGTCTCTGTGTGTGTGTGTGGGGGGAACATATTATGTTCAGTTAACATAACAGGCAAATAAAAATGTGGAAATGGCTTCTCCCAGGCAAAGTCTTATGTGCAGTACAGGTGAACAAAATCTTAGAACCAACAGAACTCATTAGAAATTTGAAAGCTGAGATACAGGACCCTGCAAGACGCACCCTGCCAGTAGCTTATAGCTACAAAATCAACCCTGAAAAAAATTACAGGTCCATCAACACTCTGACAGCTTTGCAAATCATATAGAATGTAAAAACAACTTTTTAAATTGAAAAAACAACAACTTTCACCAAGCAATGGCGATATTGAGAAGAGATCAGCCAGTGCATTTGGGCGAGCATCTGTCTTGACTTCTCCGCTCTCAAGATGGGAGAAAGGCAAGAGCTCTTTCAGATTTGCGATTAGCTTCAATAACAGACGCACGGTATCATTTCCACCTCCTTGCACAAACAGAAGAAACCTGGTGTGCAGAGGCAGACATGTCAGCAAGGGGGAAGGAAATGTGTCTTGCGAAAGCTGGAGATAATCGAGGGATTGAGGAAACTGATAAAATAAGGTTAGGGCTCACCAGTCAGCACTGAAACAGGCTTCTCGTAAGGTCAAAGATGCATGATATGTTAATCAGAGCAACAGCTAAAGGCAGCCTTCTTGTCTCTTATAAATAGGCTTGTTCCAACATAACATTTTTACAAGCACACAACTGAAGTGAAATTTAGGTTCATTGCTCTGTTTAACTGAAGCTGGTTTTCACACCTGTATTCCCAGTCTGGGTGGAAGCTGTGTAACTTGACTGATTAGTGCGAGAAGACTTTCAGCTCACTGCCTGGTTTGTTTCTACATTAAACGGTTTTAATCTTAAAACTGCCCTGTTCTGCAGTCGCCCAAATCATTCACTCGAACTTTCCTCTCATTTAATATACTATCAGACCAGTACAGTACATGTGTGAATATTACACCAAAGAAGTTGTATCATCTGAATCTATTTTCCGTGTCTTAGTGCTCCGTGGGTGTGGTATGAGTTTTTAAAATAAAAAGAAATTGCTTTTAAATCCTTATGCCCTCATATACTTTGGGCTGTCAACAAACATGAAAGAGCAATTTTAAAAACAATCAACAAGCTTAAAAGAGCACTTCAACACAAATCCTTCACATCTAAAGCCTGGAGTTTTAATACGGTATCTGGTGCAGTTAGACATTCAGAAAGAGGGCCCACCTAGTTGTAAACCAGCACAATTAATAAAAGGCTTGTGCATTTACAGCACAAGCACGTGGAAGCTTAATTAATCGCAATAAAGATTTTATTTTTAAAGAGCCACAAGCACCAGCTCAAGTAGTTTGCTATGGTTTTATGACCACACCGCTCTTCTGAATTATTTTTAGAGACCTTGTGCACATGGTTACTGTGCGTAAGGTAACTGTGCAGACAGGCCCCTCTAACAGCAGGCACACCCAGGCATGCTTCTGAAGCCATGCAGTGGCGGTCTCTGAGCAGGACCCATGGCCAGATATGACTATGCTGTCACACCCGGGCGGAGCGTTGGCACAGTGGCTCAGGACCTGCGCCTGTGGCTGGAAGGTTGCCGGTTCAAATCCCGCGGCCGGCAGAGGGCCCCTGAGCAAGGCCCTTAACCCCAGCTGCTCCAGGGGCGCTGTACAATGACTGACCCTGTGCTCTGACCCCAGGCCTCTCTCCCCGTCTGTGTGCCTCCCGGAGAGCAAGCTGGGGTATGCGATCCTGACACAAGAGATGGTATGTGGCCTCATCTGATCTTATGTGAGAGGTACTCACGGGTGCATCGCAGGCTCTGCTTGTACAGTCCCCAGATGAAGTCCCCGCACAGGTCACACCAGGTGGGCTGCGTGTGGGTGCAGGGCTGGAAGTCATGCCCCTCCCCCGCCTCCTCCGTCAGCTGGGGGTCCCCGCCGTCGCCGAGCAGCCGGATGATCCTGACCCGGTTCAGCAGCTCGGGCACCTTCCCCGGGCTGATGCGCAGGGCGTTGACCCGCTCCAGGCGGGGGGTCCGGGGGGGCGGCGGCGGCGGCTCGGAGGCCAGCTCGATGCGGTCCTCCAGGGACAGCTCCTGCAGCTCGATCAGCTCGCCCTGGGACATGCCGGGCTGAAACCAGAACTGGAGCGAGGGACTCTAAACCAACACCGTGAAGCAGCTGGAATTTATCCTAAACATGGATCCTTCCAAATCTACAAGCCGGGCAGACACTCTGCTAGCTCGGACCACAGGACAAGACTGGGAGACAGAAAGCGTCCATTTCTTCGTAATTTCTTCAGTCAGCGTATGAAGGTGGAAGATACGCGTAATCGCTGTCTTTTCTCCTCCTCACAGCTGAGACCTCGAAGACGCCTCTGGAACCCATAGGAGACACAGCCAGGAAAGTCCCCCCCGATGTCTTCAGGTCATGCTCCAGTGCGCAGGACGTGACTCGGGTGTGTCCCTTCACATAGCACCAGCCCCGTCGTCCCAGCCACGCACACGGCTTCCCGGCAGCGGTGTTGTCAGCCCGTGGGGGTCTGCTGCATGGTCGATCTGCGACACCCCCCAGAACCTGGGGTTCCACAAACGGTCAGGGTCTCCGGTCTCCCTCGGTGCGCGGCTCGGAAAGACGCTCTCGGTTTCCGCAGGGAAGGGAGAGACTCACTGGGGAAACAGAGGGGAAGACTCACGGTGAAGACGCGGGAACAGAGACGTTTCCAATAAAGCAAAAGCCATCAGGCGCCAAGATTCTGGACTTTCGGAAAACACGAGGGACAGAACGATAGTCCAACCCACAACACGGCAAGAGTCACTGCTGAGATACCGGGTCTCTCAGCCATTGGTGCAACACTGCTCAAAACTGTTCAGCGTTCTGACGTTTTTATCACACAAAGGAAACCTTTCTTTGTGTGTGTGTCTCTAGGAATTCAATGTCTCGCAGGATAAAGATCATTATTTAAATGCAACTTACAGTACAATTGCGTCTGTTTATACAGTGAGGCAATGAGCCGTAGCAGTCTGAACGAAGCACCCTGCTCAAGGTTACAGCTGTAGCAGTACCCTGTGCAGGATTCAAACCTGCAACCTCCTGGTTATAAGTACAGTACAGCGGCCTCATCACTACTCCTTGTGATGAACCATACAACACGCATTCTAGTTAAGTATACTCTACTCTCATTAGCGCTTCAACGTGACTTCCAAGTGATAAACAACACTTATAAATAGGGAGACCACTGTAACATGTAACACAATTTACTTCCCTGGTTGAACGGTTTCAGTGATCGCGCATTTATCTGACGGCAACGTTCACGGAGAGCATCCTACTGTAGCTAGAAAAGTGGTGCTTCTGCCGAAGAAGGAGAATCACGCCCAGGAAACCAAGTCAATTCTGTGCTGCGTTTTGAGTTCAAGCAAACATCACTGAGATCTGTTTTTTTTGTCATGCTGCACGTAGGAAAATGCTCTTCTGCGCACTTTAAAATGATCTTAGTGCGTTTTTTTACCGTGTTTGTACAGTATATTGCTCTTTCACGTGTATCCACAGTGCATTCATGCGCTGTCGAAGTTTAATCACTTAAAAAAAACGTATTTATGCTTAACAGAATAACAAAAATTACAATACAAACGAGAGGACACATAACAATTCAAGACAAAGAGATCGTCAGGGGTGCATATTACTACATTAATTCAAGTTATGATTAAACAAATTAAATAAAAATAGGGTCCGCACCGCTTTCATATTTTTGCACTTTGAAATAGTCTGCAAATACCCCCTTACACCCATTTTAAAATGCCCAAAGGGTTCTTCCCAGGCCACTTCATGTTATGTATATAATAACGCGCCATTATAATCATTAAATTGATTACAAACGAAATTGTAATATTGTTTTCGATGGGGCTGAAACTTAACATAACATCTTTTTCATCCAAATAAATATCAATATTGGTTTCTTTTTTAATAGGAGTCTGCAACTTAGTCCAGAAAATATTTACCCTGGGACATAACCAAAACAAGTGCTGAACAGGTCGAAGTTTAATCGCGCTCGCCCTGCTGATCTGTGCTCTGACGTCTCAGCGCCCCGCGGTGCCACCTGCGCGCCGCTCCGCTCACGGGAAACTCCGACTTGATCCGCGCGTCTTTCACGCGCCCCGCGCCCACGCCCACGCCCACGCCACCGGGAAGCCGAGAGCACAGAAGAGGGGGTGACAGTCCTCCAAGGGCCACGCAGGCCCCACACTGGGGGGCGCCCATGGCTGAGCCTGTCCGAGCTGTACAAGTAGGACAAGCATGCTCACAAGCTGGTGCAAAAAAAAAAACAACCGTTCAGTTTCGCCACTAGTATAAAAACGTATAGACGTTTATTCCCCAACACACACATTTTTAAAAATGCAAATTCTAAAATAAAAAGCTTCCAACAGTTAATGTAAAACCTCTATTGATGCACGGAGCCACCGCGCACTCTGGAGATTTTCGTTATCAGAGCTTCGACTATTTTATTTTAACCGCTTGGGTGCAATCCGGTTATTTTCTTCCGGACAGAAGCGGCCCCCTCCGTGGGAAACGCATTTTGAACGCCGCCAGGCGCATCCCAGATTTTTAAAGGGCAAGCGCAGATGCTGAAACATCCCCATCTCCCCGCCGTGCGGGCGGTATGAGGACCCCGGGACACCGCGCTGATAGATCGAGCTACACTTCGTTCATGTGAATTTTATCACGAGAGAAAAAAAAAACCCTTTTTGTGGCTCTCATTTTTTTTTACTCTGGGTGTTATTTTTTTTTTAAAACTTTTTTTCCCTCCTCGCTGAGCGGGGTGTAAAACGCGAAAAGAAATCAATGATCCCTTCGGGAGGGAGGGAATCAGTTGGGTGAAGCTGCGGGACGTTATCTCACGATGCCTCCGGGAGTTGTCCCCATCTGGGGCATTCCTCCGCACCGCTCAGGACAACACGCTGACCCGAAAATGCGGAACGACCACTTCTACTTTTCGGAATGAATCGCACTTCTGCTGTTCCCTGAAAAAAAAAAATCGTTTACGCTCGGATATAACGTTCTGTCTGGAGCTGTGATTTTTGGGGGATTTGCAACTGTACCTACAACCCTGACCGAAATAAAACCCCGGCAACGTGCCCGCTTTCATAGTGTGAAGTCTTCAGCATCAGTTCAGACCTCTCTGTGCATCGCCTGCCCGAGACTAAGCCCGCTTGTTTTCAAGCGCTGGGTAACCCACGAACTTCCAACAGCCTTTTAAAAAATATATATATTTCACCGTCGTGATTTGTAAAAAAAAAAAAATTACACGTCGCGTTCACGTCGTCCTCGAAAAATAAATAATGCATGTAAAGATGTAAGCTGGGACACACCACTTACCAAGGCAAGACTCGATCTAGGTCACCGACACACAGGCGTGGCTACAGTGGAACAAAAACTGTTAAGTTTCAAACGCTGCAGCAATTTAAAATGCCCTTCGTGATCTGGAATACTAATCCTCCGTTATTATGTAAACAAAAAAGAGTTCGTGTTTGTCGCCGGCAACCTTGGAAGGACGCAATGGAGCAGAAGAAAAAAAGATAACAGTCGTCCACAGTTTGCCACAGATGTATTTTTATTCAACGCAGTCCATTTCCCCAGCTAACAAGAGAGAGCAAGCGAAGCGAGTTAACTCCTTAAACGCGTTTGCGACCACAGACGCAGCTTGTCAGCGGCTACGCTGTAGCAGGACGAGCTTCTCGGTTTAAAACACCGCCAGGGAATTTTCAGAAAGTCTGGCAGCTTCATACGGTCCTTCGGTTGTCCACGCACTGTCTAGCTGGTGCTTGAAAGGAGGACAGAGAGTAATTGTCTTGAAACACGGAGAACGAACGGTTTTTCTCTCGCGAAAAGTAGATGCAAGCAGAAGAACGCTACACGAACGAAAGAGACCCTTTTTTTTCCCTCCGAAAGCTCTGCCCCCTTTTTCTGCCCGCGCTCATGTGATTTTATTTTCTCCTCCGTGCAGGACAGCCGAAAAAAAAAAAAAGTCGAAACCTTGCACGGACGAGCCCGGAGAGACAAGCAGCCGTCTTCATGTGCTCCAGCCCGGAGCTGGGCGCAGCTGTCGCGGCGGTCACACGGAGAGGCGAGGCGCGATCTGCCGGGCGCTGTTATGCTGGAAGGAATCCGCTGAAGTTTCCGTAGAGAGAGTGGGTTGAGGAGGTGTGGTGTCCCGTCTCAGCAACGTGTTGCGAAAGGGAAAAAAAAGCGAGAAGGGGGAACATTCAAAGCCTTCATGTGCGAGATACGGAGACCGCGCAGAGCCCGGTTGTTGGTGTCGACTGCAAGCCATCTGCAAAAGCAATGATGTTTCAAAGGGTTTTCCACGAGGTTCCACCTTAAGCATCAAGTCCTACTTTTCGTCCTGGGGTTGTACCCGAGGGTGGGCGCTGGGCACACGATCTGTACTTTTAACTATTCCCGGGCTGGTGCTGGTAACGGGTTTAGTCCTGCAACGTCTTACCGCTTACACGCTGAAACCAGCTATAATAAACGATTAGGGGTGTCAAATAAGTGTCAGCAAAAAGACCCAACACACACAACAAATTATAGCGAAAGACATCGCCCCGTCCGTATACTGTAATACTGGAATAAACACTGGCGGTCAGAAACGAAACAGATTTTTTTTGGAGGGAATGAGAACAACATTCAGGAAGATGCAAAAGTTAAATAACTTCCCCTGACTAGTGCATGAAAGTTATTTATTACTTGTCAATGTTAGAAGTTTCTTTTTACAGGGAGATGTTTTACAGGTAATCATGTTCCATTAGGGTGTAGTAAACACCAAACTGTACACATTGTAGTATCACAACATACACAAAGATATATACACAATCATGCTACACCATGGCCAAGGGATTCGGTGTAGAGCTCTTGTGTCCTCTGGTTGGTTCTGCAATCGCTGATGCTCCTCCCGAGACTATGAACAGTTCTTTCCAGATGTGCAAGAGTGAGGTAACACCATCGTTCTGCTTCCAGTGAGAGCAACGCACGCAGACACAATCAGACAAGTTTGTATTTCTAGGCCAGAGTTTCTGAAGAAGAGAAGATCTTGGACGAGCTTTTAATCTGAAATAGCAAACAGACAATAAACTACTGCCATTGGCCATCTAGTGGTTTCTGGCAGAGGGTGCAACAGCCTCTCCATCACTGCGCAAACATGGCCTTCGGTATATTACCCAGTTAAACCACTGAGAATCTTTTAGACAAATGGGTTGGATGGATGTTCTCCTCCCATTTCTTAACCGGTATGTCTGCCATGTGTCTACATGCTGACATCTGAGCAAGGAAGACGTGTGTATTAATCTTTAGAAGAGATGTCATGTACTGTATGTCACAAGCGAGCCAATGTTCCTGTCCTTTGACACGAGTAAGCAACAGACAGTTCCCATGTGGAAAGAATACAAATAACACATCTTGATCAGCCAAAGAGGGAGGGATATGTTGAACACCATGATGTAGTAGATAATTGCACAGTGTCTGTTTAGCATTTAATCTTTGGCAGGGAGCCTTGGATCACAAGTAAAGCCCCAATTCTCTGCTGCAAAAACGCCCTCATTTGTTTTTATTTTTGTGAGCTTGTGGTTATTGTGCTACTGTGAGTTTACTAATAAATGTACAGCAATCAAAGCTATGTGACTTAGACACTATTAAAAGGAGTTTTAGCTGAAACCAGTGCAACAATAGATGAATTTTCTCAGAACACCAATAGCTGTCCAACGTCACCACTCATTTAGTTTTAGCACTGCACTGACATTGACAGTATATTGAAGGGCATGTCAGGCAGACTGCTGGGACCCTGTGCTTTAAAACCTCAGTTCAGTCTGGGCTGTCTTTCCTGTTAGACCCACTGCTGACTCTTCTCGAGTCCTACGGCTTGACGTCCAAGTCCCCCCGGAGTCTGTGAAGAGCTTCGGCCATCAGCTCACACGCTTGCTTGTGTTTCGGCCAGTGTTTCACCTGACATTCCCTGCAGGCAGACAAAACAGGTTAGCCTTGCGAGTCTAGAAAATACTAGGGGACCCAGATTAAAAGATTTCGGCCGGTGCCAATTCTAATTGCATTTGTTTTTTGTTGCAACAGACATGCAAGGGGGGGGGAGGGGAGGAAATAAAAAAAAACTCAGTGTTACAAAACCATGCAGTAGAAAAAAAGCCAAATTTTCTTTCTTCCTACTTTCTAAAATATTTTGAAGCAGGGATACAGCCACATAAGGTTGGCTGCCCACCCATTTTCATACTGTCCAATAATTATTTACAAACACTGAATGGAGTCTCACACTGCCGGAGGGTTTTGTCATGACTGTGGGCCTTCGTATTAAATGCTGAAACCCTCACACTGGTTGGGTCCGCTGCAGCTGCTCTTCGTTCTGCACAGCACTCTGGGATTGTCTAGGCCCGCGGGCTGCTACAGGATGTGAACCCACTGCGCCTTCCCCCGACGGGGCGTCTCACCTGCGGCAGTACCACTCGCTCTGGCACCGGGAGCAGCGCTTGGCGGCCTCACAGCCACAGGAGCCGCACTTGGGTTTGTCAGGGATGAGGTTCTCCATGACATCCAGACTGTAGGTCTGGGCCAGCCTGACAGGAGAGAGAGGGCAAGGTGACGCGAGGAAGGACACATCTCTCTCTACCCACACCTCAGACGCCGCATCTTCGAGGTGAGTGGCTTCTCAAGGATTTTGCGCACTCCTCCAGATTTACATCATACAGTACTAAGGGACAAGTTATAGGTTTATTCCATGCTGAAAAAAAGAAGAAAGAGAACACAACGTTTCGGCCGTGGAGCCTTCTTCAGGTGTGAGAGAGACAGGGAGTGACTGCCCTGTCTCTCTCACACCTGAAGAAGGCTCCACGGCCGAAACATTGTGTTCTCTTTCTTCTTTTTTTCAGCAGGGAATAAACCTATAACTTGTTCCTTTGCAGCCTACGCATGCTGACGCAGCTACCCACCTGAACTAATACAGTACTAAGGCTTTTTTTAAGCAGCCCTTAATAAATACAAATGTCCTTAATGGGGTAAGAAATACAGTGCCTGGGAGAATAAAGTAAGCATCTGTGTCATATTTTGACTTGATCATTAAATACTACATGTGGCTCTGAAAGGGGAAGTAGTTGTGTTTCAGAATATTTCCAGATATTTAGTAAGCAAGCTGTGCCAGGGGGTAAATTGGTCAAGAGAGCACATGCCTTTATCCCAATTAACACCGCTCCCCACCACCACCATCACCACCACAATGAACAGCTTTGTTACTAAACATTCTTCTTTCAGACCCAAATCAAGTGTTTAAGGAGAAAGCCTTATCACACAAGTACCTGCTGATACCCTTTCTTACACATGAGACAAATGCTTTGATTGTACTTTTATTCTGCTAGGGCACTACCCCCTATAGATCTCAGTGGCAGGTCACAGTTATATGCTGCTGCATAAACTGAGGCATGTTTGTGTAGGCCGCACTCTCCCTCTGCAAAGTCCTCACACTCCTGCCCCTCTGCCTTACCTGTGTGCCTGTTGCCTCAGGTCCTCTTCAGAGGGGCTGAATGCTTGCTTCACTTGGTACTTAGCAATGGCCTTCCACTTCCCAGAGTTCTCTTTCATAATATTATTCCACATTTCCGGGATCTACAGATCAAGGCATGGTGAAATAAAAAAAGAACAGGCAAGGAAGAAACATCACCGCGATTTAAAGAACACAGTAGGTGAAGTGATGGCTTCTTGTCAAGCAGAAAGGAGTCACTCGCTTGCTTGGTAGGGGACTAGTTCTTATAATGCGGTGCTTTACCTGTTCCAGAATGAGGTCCTTCTTAGGGGGTGCGGGGTCAGTGATGGCCAGCTGGCTGAGGAAGCGCTGGAGCTCGGCCAGATTGGGCAGCTGGTCAATCAGTACCTCGGTCAGGAAGCCACGGAGCTGGGAATACACTCACAAACATCAGGATCGGGCCAAAACAGGTCCTGCGCTTACAGTAACCAGAGCACAACACACAGCAGCCACTATCTGCGCTTGCCTGAAGCGAACTGCATCACACATGGCTGCTCTGCTCACTTAGCTACACCACGGCTCACCATGTGTCAGAATTTATATTATTTTGTGTTGGAGAGTATTTAACTGAATGTGATTCTGAAGATGTATTAAATACTGTATATATACTCATATAAATATACCTGTGTATACACCGCAGGTGAGAGCCGGTGGAAGGCAAAAACATATACCAGGCCAGTGAAAGGAAGATGTTGTACATGAGGGGATTTTCAGAATGACCACGTTTTTATCACCATTTATACTAAAACCAAACCACAGAAAGCATGTTTTTAAGACTAGGGTATATTGAAACGAGCAGGCACCCTGATCACTATATAACAATAATTTCTATAAGCTCATGAGCTTTTTGAATCGTTTAAAAAATGAAAAAAGTAAAATTGAATTCACACAGTTGTCGCTTTCATCTTCCTAATCTGTCCACGTGTCTGATTTTGTTGTTTGCTTGCCCTCTGGCACAGTGGCTCTTCCCAGCTCGTTATTTTATACACCTTGACAGGATGTTTTAATTGGAAAAGAAGAAAAGCAAAACAGGCAAAGGGAAGTGGCTTCAATCGGAAAAGGCATCTGGGAATCTAGCGGAGTTCCTCTTAACAGGTCACAGTGAAAAGACGGCTCAGGGAAAGCGAGACGCATGGCAGACTCCGATATCCCTCTTAAGTGCTCTTCATTTAAACTCACTGTGGTTGGAAACTGAAGGCAGCTGGAGCAGATCTATATCATTAAGGGATGCATTGTTCCTTTGTTTTCTATTAAACCGTGGGTCTTGCCAAACCAAGTGTTTATTGTGTTAAAAGTAAACAGCTTTTTTTACCTGGCATGACTTGAACCCTAATTACAGTATGTTGCTAATGATCCTCAACAAGATTGCTTATCGTGTAGTGTCCGGCTATTCATTTTAATTTGGGATTAATCTACACCTATTAAGCATTATCTGTACCACAATGTACGCAAACATAGCTGTAGAGCCCAAAGGTCATTCCCAAAGGTTCATTGCTGGACTCAGGTTTTGCTTGCCTTTTAGGATTTAAAAGGTGTCAGGCCAGTGTTTAAAAGCTGAGCACTGCCTTTGGAAAGAGATGTATACAACTTGGGGCAGAACTTAACTTTTATCAGTTTTGTTCACATGTAGAGGGGCTGGCTCCTCAATTAAAGAGTGATTACCAAGCACTGGGTGTCATGGTGGCTAGCTGGTGGCTCACAGTTCTGGGGTCCTTTGTTCACTTTCCTCCTGGGGAGTCTTCCGTGTGGAGTTTGCATGTTATCACCGTCCGACTTCCACTCACCTCCCAAGGACTCTCTAACTTGTCCCTGGGTATGTGCGTGTCCTGCAATGGACAGCAGTCCCATCACGGATGTAGCCCCCCCTTCTGCTTCCAGGATGGGCACTGGGATTGCCGTGATAGTTCTTGGGAATAAGCTGCTTTAGATAACGGATGGGGTCACTCTACCTTTAAGAGCTGGGTCTTGTTGAAGCTGTTGAAGTCGTATTTCCTCTGACACTCAGACCTGAGCAGCAGGTTGTACAGCGCAATCCACACCTGCCCATCCAGCTTGGTCATTTTCAGGTGGTCTTCCCTGGGGATCTGATGCCACTTCCCATCCATGTACTTCTCCAGCTCACCTGTAGAGGGAGACAAAAAGTACAGTACAATACAATACAATGAGTGAACACTAACACCAAAGGTTTTGTCATATATTTTTTTAAACAAGTGTCTAAAATAACAGAAAACCCCAGTTAGACAGAACAGGATGTAGGGAAACTTGTATCCCACATAGTTAATTAGTTGTAGTATGCTTGGAAGGATTTTATTTTCAGATCCTGCTTCAGCATTGATCGTATTTGAAAATGAAATTCACTGAGACTTACAAGTTACCCATTTTATAAGATTGTTTGAATCAAAACAAGACTGGAGTAGATGATGAAAAGGTTTAGACCCTTTAGTGCCCTTAACTATCTTATATTTATTTTTGCACCGTAGTTGCTAGGCTAAAATAGAGTAGAATGAAATGTACTGGCTAAGCTGGTTGTATAATTATTTTTTAAGTTGATTACATAATTAGACCATCTTTCAAGTTTAACAACACTTACCTTTGAATACATTCATATTGGCACATTTTATAAAACTGCTTTGGAATGCACTTTTTATTCTGTCTCTTCAAAACTGGGTTGTATGTTCAATCACAAACAGTGCATTTGTATTCTTACAATGGCATTTTGTTTCGTTTAAATGGGTTGTTAATTAATTCATATAAAATTAGTCACAGTATTTTCCTTAAAGGAAGGACAGCGTATAACAATACCCAGTATTTGTTTTGACTAGAATTTAAATGTGGGAGGTGAGCTCGTTTCAGTGAACATAAAGGTTTATTTGATTTAATGCTGCAGAGAACTACACAGATCTCCACTTTCTGTGCACAATCTCTACCGATTTCGAGACCGTTCCACGGTACGCCTGCCTGCCAAAGAACAACCTCTGTTCATATGTGGCAGTGGAATATACAGTATATTCCTCTCCGAATTTTGATGTTACCATTTTTGCGACGGCTCCAGGGACAGTGCTCCACCAGATGCACGAGCACACAGGGCAGGTTGTGGGTGCTCAGCAGTCTTGTGAGTGCGCTCAGGCTTAAACTGAAGGGGAGAAACAGCACAGGAATTTCCTATTGTCAAGTCCAGTGATTACAAGCTCCTATTCATGGCCTATGGGAATACAATACGGTACAGCACTCACGTCCCAAGAGAACATTGACGCTGGTAAGTGTGGGGAAATGAACTGAAAGGCATAGTTACTGAGAACACATAAAGAAGGGCAAACTGCAAAATTCAGAAAGGGGAAAGGAACTGCACAGCCTCACTGAGTTCTTCTGGGACGATGGCTTGAGATTTTATTTTAATACTTAAGACTTAAGGATTTAAGGAAAAAATCAATCAATCCTTCAGTTCAGCGGGAGAGTCCAGTTCATTACACCGAGCCCCTACGAAGATTGAGTGAATACAAACCTATCGATGTGGTCAGTAATGTAGCGGAGGACGGAGAGGGACTTCAGAGAGATGTCAAACTCCAAGGCTGAGCTCTGCTTCTGCAGCTCCTGAGATAAAAGGAAAGCAGGCGATCGATTCCAAGATGCAGGATCTTCAGCATCTGCTTAGAACGCCTAACTGCCTCGATAGTTAAAGACAACACCCTTTTTAACCTCCATCATTAACGCTGATCTTCTTATCTATATGCCTTCATCATTAAGATTATGATCAATATCCTGTTTACCCTTGGTGTCTGGGTTGAACATTTTTTTTAAATTACAGATTATTTAGTGCATTAACATTCTGTGTATTTTTAATGCGCTTATATATTCCTTGGAAAGTGAACCAGAGCATTTAAGGACTGGGCCTGTTACTCTTCTTTGACATTTATCCTAAGAAGAAGGTGACAAACTCCCATTGACTGTTTCACAAAAGATTCTCAGACTGTGTTCTCTGGAGTCGTCGCGGCCTCTGTGTTTTAATGAGTGAGGGGCACGGGCTCATGTGGATGGTCCGCAGCTCCCTGATCTGGTGCGGACCTGCAGGGAGGACGTCTCTGGGCCCTCGGCCTCAGTCACTCTGTCCTTGGCTGGCACGTCCCCCGTCTCGCCTCGCGCTGCCAGCAGGGTCAGCTTGCGGTGGCAGTAATCGATCAGGTCCAGAATGGACTCCTCAGCTGCCTCGCAGGAATCCTGCAGTTAAGAAAAGAGTTCTTACAACTTCAGCAGAGAGAGCCGCTATTGTAGGCATGGACAACAGAGTGATTCGTTTCTGTAGCGCAAGAACATCGCTTCTCCCTAACCAGCGTATGTCTTTATCTCTGTGTGCCACAAGCTATATATGTTTGTGCTGCATTTAAAAAAAGGTCTGTGCCTGGTGAAAAAGTTGATTTCCGCTACTCGTGTGGAAGAGTCTCAGCTGGACAGCCTTTGCGACCGGAGTAAAGCGCAACACACTAGTGACACTGGCCACACACTCAGTGTTTGAATGGATCCGGTATACGTACCTGGTAGAATAATACGGTCTCCAGGAGATTGATGATGGTGGCTTCGTGATGAATCTGTAAAGACATTAAAAAGTCAACACTAAGCAACCCATCCACTATCAGGAAGATGCTTATTCCAGGTAAAGGTTGAAGCAGCTTGAACCCTAGCCTTGAAGAGATATAGGACTGGACCCTGGGTGGGATCTCAGTTTCAAAGCAAGGCTTATGCATGCAAATACACATGCATACACATCTACAACTGAGCTGTGAGCTGTGAGGCAGAGCACTAACTTTCATGCCAACATACTGTCCAGTATCTCTGAGTCTACTGCAATTAATCAGAAAAGATCACTTTATTGGCCATATACAATTTCTTGTATTTGGAATTTGTCTTTTCGCAGACCCCCACATGCTCTTCATGAGACACACAGACAGGGAGAGAGAAGCTGGGCGTCAGAGCACAGGGTCCAATGCCAACTAGATTTTTCATGCCTTTTCAGACTTGTTCTTTTACAGTTCTTATCATTATAGTAGTACGTTGTGAACAATGTCTGCCCTATTACCGGGGCATTTATTTAACATATTGCACTCACTTACCACCATGTATAAAGGGAATGTGCTCTTTGGGTTGAAATCCTGTAACTGGCACAACACGGGCAACACTTTCTGTTTCCATATCTCCACCGAGATCATTTCTCGGATCAGTATGGGAACCTGAGGAAGAAAACAGGGCAGGAGAAACCGGAGTAGAAGCCCTTACTTACTTTTATTGTCCCACATGGAAAAATTTGCTGTGCAGCCAGGTAAATGACGTAACACAATACACAAGACTTGTGACACAACACGAACCCATTAACAAACAAGAGACAGCAAAATATACGATCAATTGCCCAAACTAAACAGGTGAATAGCCACAAGAATAAAACGTGGGCAGTGAAAATCAATGCCCCAGATGAAAGGAGCTCAGATTCACTGTGCATGAGGTGGTCATGACAGTCAGTGATTATATTGGCCACGCACACTATCTGTTTGATGGGGATATCTGAAAGCTGCAGCTGTTGTGCACCTGTACATGTGCTGGCTACCTTCACAATCCTGCTGAGCCCGTTCTGCTGATGGATGAATACAGGCACACACACGGATTAGCAGTCTGGCTCCGTTTTCCACCACAAACACATGATGTGGTATGTAATGTTCATCAGAACATTAAGAAAGTTACAATGCAGTAGTGTACAGTATGTGGTCTCGGAACCCCACGACAGGACCAGAAAGACTGTACCTTCCCAAGAGACACCAGAAAATCCTTGATAAACTCGTCCTGACTGGCGCTGGCGTTCAGGATCGCCTGCATGTTCAGCTTCTCGATGTATTCGTGCTGTCGGAACCACCTGCCAAAAATTCAGAGACCCAAAAACCGTTTACTGCGGTAACAAGTTTTTTAATTATTATTATCAGTAGTATTATTCATTCTGACACGATGAATAATACTACGTTCAGGTAAGAGTTTAATTTTTATCAACACACTGATCACGACATAATAAAAAAACAAAAACAAACTTCGGTCAAAACAATTAAACACATCGCGGACCTCCAGTCGAAAAACCTTCTGATGATTTTTTTATGTTGTTGTTGTTATTATTATTATAATGCATCTTGAATTTCGGAGTTTCATGTTTTTATTTTTCTCCATTATTTAGATAAGGGTTATAGCAGAAACCTTGTCTTTATTAATTCAACTTTACGGACCTTGCAGAACCGATCTCTTTGAGTGGAAAAGTTTCCAAACTCCGGATAGACCCTTCGGCTTCCCCGGCAAACAGCACCGTAGGTGTCGACTCCATCGTCAATACGCCGTAGAATACAAAAAAAAAATAAAAAAATAAAAAGCCCGATGCCTTCAAAACTGTTTAAAATGTTAATTTCACTCGACCGTGTTATCAGCTGCTCCTTCTGCTCTGAAGTGCGGCCAGATCAACCGCCGTCGTTTCCATGGCGACCCGGGAAACACACGCATGCGTGCTGCGCTCCTCGGATCGACGCACGACGGCCCGTCTCGGTCAAGCGGTGCTGCAGCTCTGTGCAGCAATGATGATCTATTCACTTAACGATTACCACAGAGGGTAAACACAAAAAAAAAATGCTCGACAGGAAATGAATTGCGTTTTAGTACGGTACAGTGGTGCAGCGATGGGACTCCAGGCTCAATTCCTGGGGTGCTGTCCCCGTGTGGAGTTTGTAAGTTCTCCCCCTGTTCGCCTGGGCTTCCTCGCACGGTGCAAAGACATACTGGTAGGCTCCTGGGAAAATTGGCCCTGGTGTGATTGGGCCCTGTAATGGACTGGTGTCCCACTGATGGTTGAATTGGACCGATCTAGCGCAAAAAGCCTGGCGTTTCTTTATACAGACTACTCTTAATTCGCCAACACCTTATGTGGGCGTCATCCGTACCCGTCGATATGGCATTTCGCGGGAGCAATTCAGATGGAGCACCTCGCTAAACATCCGATGTTGGGAAGTGAACCGGGAACCTTCCAGTTACTGGTCCAGCATTCTCACGAGAGCTCCAGATCAAGTTCTGGGCACCCTTTCCCTCCGCTGGAAGTCTCCTTAACAAAAATGCAGTCTATACCCTTTAGAAATCTGAAGGAGATGCGATACCCGTCAGAGGTTTTATTCCTGCGCCGATGAACTCGACGGCCGCGGGGGTAAACTCGGAAAAAGAGTCAGGCAGAGAAAGGACACAGTTGAAATTAAACTCAATTTATTCATTCAAATCAAACTCGCTTTAGTACACAATGTCGGGGGCTGGGGTTAGGGGGGGATGACAAATCCACAACAAGCAAAAGATCCGTCATCGCGATGGCGGATCTGGCAGCTTTCAGTCTTCACTGGCGTGGACGCAGATTTTATGACCCTCCGGACGTCCACGTTTCCATCGCTTTCCAGCCGCCCCCTCGTCCTCCCTCCCTGGACGGCGAGAGCCGAGGCGCAGACGCTGACCTCTCCTACCCCTTGCCCAGCCTGCTGCCAATATGCCGCACACTGACCATTAACCCGAACGAACTGGGTGGGGGGGGGGGGGATCTCCCAGCAGAAACAAAAACAAGCTCTGCACTCCCTGTCCCTTTGCAGCAGCAGCAGTCCGGGGAAAACCGGGGAAAAAAACCCGCTCGCTAACTCCCGACGACGGAGACGGGGCCCCCGCGCCTCACTTCCAGCACACGATGATGTTGGGGTCGTTTTCGAGCCGCTCATCCAGCTCCCGGTAGCTCATGCCTGGAGACCCGAAGGGACGAGGCGTTAGTCGCATCCAGGCACCTGCTTCAGCGGGATGTCCAAACTTACCAGCGCCACCCAGGACACCCGAAATGTAGCCCCGCTGGTAGCCGGGCGTCCGAGCAAAACAATGAACGGCACAAGGAAACCGAGGAGCCCTGTGCCAATGAGACTACAGCGTACACTGCTACAGTGTCTCATGTACAATGTTCAATCCCGCCGAGCAAGCGTGAAAAGACACACACACACAAAAAAACGAACGACGCGCCGTTAGATGAAAAGCGTATTTCCTCCGAAAAACTGTTGGCTAAGGCGGTCGTATGCGAGGTCTTACAATTCGGAATTGTACTGCAGAGCTCTCCCGATCCAAAGAGCATTCCTCCGCTCAAGCTGGAAGTGGGGGGGAGGGCTCACCCGTTTTGCAGCAGATCTCGTCGTAGCTGTGACAGCCAGTGTAGAGCCGGGGCGGGCGGCTCCTCTCCTCCCGGGTCGCCTTCACGGGGTACTTCTGCAGGCGCCGGATCAGCCCCTTCATCAGCCCGAACTGGATCAGTTTCCTGAGGGGAGGGGTGGGTCAAGACACCCAGAACACACCTCTCATTCATCGGGGCAGATTGCACGGGTTCGTCAACATCCGTCTGACCCCCCCGAGGGCTAACCCTCTCCGAACGAACAGGGGGGCACGCGCGGACGGACACCAGGTGGAGTGGGTTAACACACCAAGAACGGGACGACGGGAGGGTTGTGGGATCATGGAACAGGACCCCCAGCCATGTTTTTGAGACCACCTGGTTTCTTTTAAAAAAAATGGCAGGATGGGATGCCTGAATGAGTTAGCTACTAATGAGCAAACAGGCCAGACCTCTCATTTGGTGGTGGTGGAGGGGAGTCCCCATTACCTGTTAAGAGCTTTGAGTGGATTGTCCAGAAAAGCGCTATATAAGTGTAAGCAATTGTTATTATTATTTGTAAACCTTTCTTAGGGACCTATTAAGATGTGAAGGACGGAGAGCACTGATAAGAACAAAGTCATTTCAGATCTTTGTTGATAATGAAGGGTGCATTATCTACGCTGCGCATTGAACTCATACAGTGCGTTACCATTCAGAAGCGACACGTTTTTTATGTTTTTTAGCTTAAAAACAGGACATAAAGTTAAAAGCACAGATCTTAAGAATTTTAACTGAATACTAGATGGTGGTATAATACTGAAGGTTTGGACTTTCATTGAGGAAACATTTGCCTTTTTTTAAACTTGTTTTTGGTTTCATTTTCGCGCCGACTGACCTCTCATCGACCCTCTGCAGCTGCTGCGCGTAGCGAGAGCACAGGTCTCGCACTGTAGTTCCTGGACTCAGGCCACAGTAGAGCTGAAACACATCCCTCAGGTTGGCTCTCTTCTGGCCTAAAACATGCATATAGATGGTGTGTACACGTACAGAAACTTAAATGTTTGAAAATTCGTGCTGTGCAAGAAGAAACGCAGGCCGAGAATAAATCACACTAGCAACTGGCTTGGCAATCCCAAAGCCAAAAGGTCTCACTTGTATCTAGTTTGTGTTTTCCAGACTTTTCTTGTGTCTGACCATTGGGGAAGTTCAAAAGTGGTTTTGAACCGGAAGGGTGACAGTCTTGATTAAATGTAGTCCTTACGAGAGTATAAGCCAGCCTCAGTTGTGTTCACACATTAGTTCACATCCATTCATCCTTCACTGCATCTTTCTACAGCGATCTGAAGCGACACGTATTTCATTCACTTCAGCCCTGACCCTGCTACACTGGCTACCAGCAC